ATTGCTGCTGCTACTGTGTCAATCCATCTTATTAGGGACCTTCCTCTTTCTTGTTGACATTCCACTTTACCAAGCACGATGTCATTCTCAAGATACTGGACCCTCCTCATAATATGTCTGAAGTATGAGCGATGAAGCCTTACCATCTTGGCCTCTAAGGAGCATTTTGGTTGTATTTCATGCAACACATTTGTCTGTACTTCTGGCAGTTCATGGTACTTTTAATATTGTTCTCTAACACCATAACTCATATACAATTCTTCTATGGTCTTTCTTATTCATTGCCCAACTTTCACATGCAGATGAAGTTAGTGAAAATACCATGGCTTGGGTCAGGGGCACCTTAGCCCTTAGACTGACATCTTTGCTTTTCAGCACTTTAAAGAGGTCTTGTGCAGCAGTTTTGCCTAATGTAATATGTCATTTGTTTTTATGACTGCTGCTTCCATGAGTGGTGATGGTTGATGCAAACAAAAAGCAGCCTGCGACAACTTCAATCTTTTCTGTATTTATCTTGGTGCTATTTATTGATACAGTAGTAAGGATTTTTGTTTTCTTTACATTGAAGTGCAAATCATATTGAAGGCTGTGATCTTTGATCTTCATCAGCAAGTGTTTTAGGTCCTCTTTGCTTTTAGCAAGGAATGTTGTATCACCTTCATATCACAGGCTGTTAGTGAGTCTTCCTCCATTCCCAATGCTATATTGTTCATATAATCCAGTTTCTCAGATTATGTGCTCAGCACACAGACTAAACAAATATGGTGAAAGAATACAACATTGGCACACAATTTTCCTGATTTTTAAACCATTCAAGGTCTCCTTGTTCTGTTTGAATAAATGCCTCTTGTCTATTTACAGGTTTCTCATGGGCACAATTAAGTATTCCAGAATACACATTCTCCCCAACGTTGTCCATAGCTTGTTATGGCCCAGACAGTTGAAAGCCTTTGCATAGTCAATAAAGCACATGTAAAAATCTTTCAGGCATTCTCTGCTTTTAGCCAAGACCCATGTGACTTCAGCAGTGATAACCCTTGTTTCAAGTCCTCGTCTGAGTTTGGCACGAACCTCTAACAGTTCCATGGTGGTGTACTGTTGCAGCAATTTTAGAACTATTTTTAGTAAAATGTTACTTGCATATAATATTAATGATATTATGATTTCCACATTCCATTGGCCAGGTGGGGGTGGTGGTGGTGTGCTGCAAAGTAGGTTCCAGCTGATAGCAACCCTATATAAGGTTTCTGAGACTGTAAACCATTTAATGTTTTACCCATAGGATCCTTCAATGTGGAAAGTTGAGCCTTGAATTTTTCTTCAGTTCTTCTAACTTGAGAAACGCTGAGTGTGTTCTTCCCTTTTGGTTTTTTGGCTCCATGTCTTTGCACATTTCATTATAGTACTTGAATCTGTATTCTTGAGCTGCCCTTTGAAATTTTCTGTTTTACCTCATTTCTTCCATTTGCTTTAGCATCTATGAGCTGGAGAGCAAGTTTCAGAGTCTCTTCTGACATCTATTTGGTCTTTTCCTTCTTCCTTGTCTTTTCAATTATCTTTTGCTTTCTTCTTGTATGATGTTCTTGATGTCATCCCACAACTCTGCTGGTCTTCGGTCATTAGTGTCTAATGTATCAAATCTGTTTTTGAGATGATCTGTAAATTCAGGTGGGATAAGTTCAAAGTCATATTTTCGTTATTGTGGACTTGTTTTAATTTCCTTCAGCTTCAGCCTGAACTTCCTTATGTGTAACTGATGTTCTGTTCCACAGTTGGCCCCTGGCTTGTTTTGACTGACGACATGGAGCTTTTCCATCTTATCTTCTCTCACAGGTAATAATTTGATTTCTGTGTATTCCATCTGGTGAGGTTCTAATGTATAGTCAGCTTTTATGTTGTTTGAAAAAGGTATTTGCAATGAACAAGTCATTGGTCTTGCAAAATTCTATTATGTTATCTCTAGTTCACTTCTATCACCAGGGCCATATTTCAAACTACTGATCCTTTCTCTTTGTTTCCAACCTTTGCATTGCAATCACCAATTGTAAGACTAAATCTTCATTGCACATTTGACGAATTTCAGACTGAAAAAGTTGGTAAAATCATTTATTCTCATCATCAGTCACTTTAGTATATGGTCGTAAATTTGATTAATATTGGTATTAACTGGTCTTCCTTTTAGGCATATGGATATTATCCTATCACAGACGGCATTATACTTCAAATTAGAGGTTGAAATGTACTTTTTGATGAT